GTATTAGTACCAAAGCAGTGCTGTTATGCTCTGGGGGCATTTTGCTGGTATGGTTTGGTTCTACTTCTGTAACGGTCAATGCCCCCATCCACTGAATAGCTTAATAATATGAAAATGGTATTAATCCTATGCTGTGGCCCTCACATTCACCAGATCTCAACCCAGGCATACAAAACCTATGGCAGATTTTGTAGCAACATGTTAGACAGCATCTCCACCACCATCATCAAAACAACAGATGAGGGAATATCTTTCGGAAAGATGGGGTTCATCCCTTCAGTAGAGTTCAGAGACTTGTAAATGCTTGTAGCTGTTCTGGTGGCACATGGTGACCCATCACCTTACTATGTTGATTTTTTTCCTTTCATTTGTCACCTGTCTGTAGTATTACCGTGGATTTGGTTACGTAATGTGAACAGTCTCAGCTGTAATGTAGTGACAATCCCACAGATAACGATCATCCCATTCTGGAGTTCCCCTCAGTTATATGACACTTTTTTTTTAGCACATTCTTTTTGTGTTCTTCTTGTTTATTTATTCTTCTAATTTGTCAGACTTTTACCAAACACAGTCCAAAGTTACATCTTGATAACCACATAGCAGGTCACTGATTAACCCTCACCTTTCCACCAACATTTCTCAAGGATTACAAGCATTCACTTGACACTGTTTATTCTTAGGGGGCCATCTGCTATTTATTAACTCACTGAGCTAACAGTAAACCATCATGCACATGAAATATCTCCTGTCAAATTGTTGCTCACTTTAATAATTTCTAAGAAAGTTAGACTTTAAATGTTTCAGTGAAATTAGGCATGAAAAGGCATCCTGTAGACTCAGCGGAACAAATCAGTGATGCTTTAAAGAGTACTTACTGTCTTTCTCAGTACAAGAGCCATTGTGTGACATGAAGCAATTCATTAATTTAGTGATGTGTGTGGATTCATGTCCATGTGGCCTGATGTGCCGTGATGTTCCAGGAAGTGGAGTGTGGTTATTCCACGACAAATCCCAAGACTAATAATGATGTTTTAGTTAAGTTTCCAGTATTGTGAAACCATGCTCATTTTGGTTACTTTGGCTGTTTGCTAATGTTGAGGCGTGTTCGTTTTATATTGAAAAGAGAAGACTAATAAGAGGATATATATTTCACAGTATGAAATTTATTATGCATTAACGTATCAAAATTAACATGTGCACATGGATCTCCACTGTTTAGGATAAACAGGAAAGACTGACTTCAACTTAGTGGTATACAATATTTGTACGAAAAGGTGCTACTATCTAATTGGTTCAAAACTGTTGGGGAGAAGCCGTGGTTTAGACTTAACTCTCCCGTTATTGGTCCTTCAGTCCGTCCGTCCTCTCTGCTCCAATCATAGAGGGAATAATGGGCTCTTTTGGAAAAGGCAACAAATCTAATGAAAGACTGTGTGATGATTAGACCTTGGAAAACCACTCAGTGCACCAGACTTATGATGTTGCATTAGTGTTTCAGTAACTCACACAGCAAATATTTGACCAGTGGTTAAGTGAACACATAGAGTGATATTCATAATTATATAAGCATATCTGTGACATATAAGTATGTAAACTTATGTGTTATAAAATAAAACCATTCTTAAGTGCATAAAATAAAAATCACCCTAACACTAATCAAACAAGAAAATATCAGCTTATCATCAAATGCACATTTATTTGGTTTCAAAGACAAAAAATAATTTAAATCCTGTAGTGATTATTTGGTTTATATAACTCAGGCTGTCATTAATTAGAGCATACTAAACTGAACCTTGTGTAGCATGAGGAAAACAGTGTGCTAATTGCATTTGTGTCCGGTGTTTTTAAGGGACTTGAAACCAGAGTTTTCTAAGAACTGATGAACATGTGAGACACTAAATTGTTTGCTCTGTATAGGTGCACTATGTAATAAACCTGCAAGAAAAAAGTTTGGAGTTTGGACTCTTGTTTTAAGTGTTTTTTTTTTTTTTGCAGGTCAGCAGGTTTAAAGTTTATCATAAACTTTCAGTGGCGACACAGAGTTTATAATAAACAATAAAACCTGTTGAAATGATTAAACAGCCCAACCACAAAAGCTGACATTTTAGGACTAGTATGAGCAGAATGTACCATACAGTGATATTTCAAAGGCAGACATTTTGACTTGTCATAGCAGAAAAAGCAAAGATGTTCCTAGTAACATTAACATAATGGTGCCATTGTTAAAGTGCCCCAGTAAGCTGTGACCGCGAGCCAGCATGGTTAATATCAGGCCGACTGAAATCAGTGCAGCTAAATGAATTTCAGTCACCTTTCATTTCATTAAGCTTGTCCTGCTGTGATGTGTCAATATATTTTCTGCAGCATCATTTATCTCCACTCCATGAGGTCAGCGTCAACCTCAACACCTCTGAAGGAGTTAAACAGCGAAAGCCAAGTTCAGCTGCCAGTGTTGCAGCGACATCTATTGGTCATGTGGAGATGATCAGGTAAAGTGTTAGAGCTGATATGGCAATGGATGCTGCTTTCTTCATCGCTGTAGTGTGATGACACATTCATGTCACTTCTGTTTGTTACTTTATAGATCAGTGGAGGTAAATGTTTCTCACTGTAGCTATGAGATGACATAAACTGTAATGAAGTGTTTCAAAATGTTAGCTCTTGTAGGTTTTATAGGTTAGGTAGTTTAAAAAAGCTTTTAAAATGATTGTACATAAAAGACAGAAGGATGGAGACTAAGTGGTTTGTTTGGCAGACACACATCTGGATAACTTCCCCAACTCCATAAAGAGCAGTTGCTTCCCAGAGCTTTTCTATGGGAACCAGCTGGGACTCATAAGTGGGCGTGGCTAGGCCCAGGGTTACTACTTTGATGAAAGACTGACCTCTTTCACATAGTCAGCATAATAATAAATCCCTTGCAAGACTTTATCTAAAAAGTCACATTTTAAATCCTAGAGCAAATTGTGTTTTTAGTTGACATATCTGTTGGGAAACCGCAACCAAAATAACCTTGGAAATCAACTGGACTTGGATTTCTAGATCAAAACAGTCGATCTAGAAATCCAAGTCCAGTTTTTCCAAGTTTATTTCGGTTGCGGTTTACTGTGACCTGGATGACTGAGAAGCTGCACAGATATCTGTTGGGAAAGCAGATTGATCTAGATTGACACAGGAACTAAAAACATCTGCTGTTGCAACTTACTTACTAACTTCTTGCAGCCCATAAAAGGAAATACTGAATCTGTTCATCATAGGGTTAAAAATTATTTTATGTTGACTTCAGATGTTAATCTGAGCCAAGGTGCTTTTAGAAACGCCGGGTCCAGCTCTGGCACTGCAGTGCTGTGAGATCTTCATGCTTTCATCAGGATGCAATCCCAGAGGGATTGTGTTGAAGTCTGTGAGTTTTGAGTAGGTTCACAGAATAATGAATTCCTCTTCTGATTTTACCTTATTGGTTATTGCCAGCAGACTTGGCCAGCGCCAGTCAACCCAGCAAATCACTTCAAAGATTAATTTCAGTGGCAGAGGGAATAATTCGGGGTATTCATGTTTGCTGTTACCAAATGGGCTTCCTGATGAGGGGATCTGTGTGTAATTGCAGCCTTTCACCACTAAGAGTAATAAAGGATTGTTAAAAATGTGTTTCAAGCCCACACAGAATAATATTAGTTTGTGCTTTACGCTCATATTACTCTGCTGAAAACAGGAGCACAGCACAGAGCCTGGGTTATGATGTGTTAATCTTTGACAGAAGATGAGCAAACACCAAATGGTTTAAAACATCTTCATCTGCTGCTGAAGGCCATGAGATGTGGCTTGTTTGAAACTATTCTTTTTAAGGACAATAATGAGCCATTAAGCTCATGCTTTGCTGTGTTTTTACTTTTTTGTGTGTGAACTGTCCTCAAATCAATATTTTGGTATGAACATTGGATCAAATTATTATCTGTAGTGTTAAAGGGGTCATATATAGGTATGCACCGACAGAGAATTATCACCTCACTCCAGCATTCTCCTTTTCATTTTGGCTCAATTCAGCTCATTGTTTTTGTTTCCTGGTGCACATCTTTACTGTTTGCTCACTCTCACCACCCTCACTGCTGCTGTTTCCAGTAGAGCTAAAAGGAAAGTGTCCAGTGGACTTAGATTTATCAGGTGGCAGGAAAAACAACTTCATAAGAATGCTAATGTTACTCTGTGACTGTTCAATGTGTAAACACCCCAGTTCTTGCTTACATGTCCACCAGTGCTATGAGCACAAATTCAATTCAAATTCTTTGTTTATTTATCATCCAATCACACAAAATGAAGACTAAACCTAGGGTACAGTGGACTACTAAGAGTAACAAGATTCAGTTCTTCATCTTTCAGGCTGGACTGTGAGGCTTTCCATTCAACATAAAAACAAAAGATGGCAAATTAACTGTTGTTTTCTGAAGCAGAGATGCAAAAAGGAATGGAAATGCAAATATAAATAATGACAAAGTGGGCGGCAGAGCTGGTTTCACACCTCTGTCAGTCTCCTAAACATGTTGTGACAGACACAGAGTTCAGACATGCAGTTGGAGCATCCTGTCCTTTTTGTTTCTATATTAGGACATTCTCTTTTCAGTATTTCAAATAGTTGCAGACACTTTAATAGCAACTTAATGTGCTGTTTTAGCTGACATACTTCCCTGTCATATACTCAGAGGTGGACTTGAATGTGATCTCTTCATTCAAATCCAGAGCTCACCCACCACGGTGCTACCCATACATACTGGCCCCCATTCTTATGGCTCTGACATTTTGTTCTTCCTTTGTCCCTCTATCTTTTATTTTAAAGGCTGTTGAGTGAACGGATGCAGAGGCATAGGACCTCAGACAATGTCAAGGAAAGTTATTTAAGCTGTTATAATAAAAATTAGCCTATTTAATAATGCATTCCACATTCCTTGAGCTAGGGATCAGCACACCCCAGTGCGCGATCTAGTCTGTCGCCCTGATTATGAAATGATGGATACAGAAAAAGTGTTCACTTTCAATGTTGCATCCAGCAGGTGCAAAGTTTTATTAAACATAATCCATTCTGGTAAAAAGGTAAGGATACAATACAATACCTTTTAACTCTGTTATACCTTGTTTTTCCTTTGACAACAAAGGTTGGCAGTTGATGGAATGATGGAATGTCATCATTGAAGTCAAACAGCAGAGGAGGCCTCTTGCTCCTCCTATCTTGTAAGCTAGTGTTTGGCTTGTACTATAGTTTGCTGTTGTTCTTGGACCACTGACTCGATCTTGGATGGAGAACAACATTTCTTTCTCAGATTTTAGAATGATAACAGACTTGGGAAAACATCCGCAATGCATTTCAGTTCACGGAAACACACTTGGTGTCCACGTACCAAGTCCACTAAATGCACCCCAAGAGTCAGATGTGACTTTGTGCACTTCATTACCAATGATTGTCAGGCCAGAGCAGGCTGTTGAAATCATAAAGGCCAAAATCTCAAAGGTGCTCCACATCAGCTGATGTTGCCAAAAGTCAGCTTCGTGGTGGTCTAAGAGAGTCCTGGGACTCGTGCTCATTTGCCAGTACCATTCGTCCGTTGTCACTGTAGCTCCGGTTTGGCAGTAAGGACAATCTGAAAAAGACAGAGGGGCCTCATTGGTAAATGGTAATAAAACTAAATGCTGTGTAAAGGTGCTTTGATAATATTCTTCAGGTCACCACAGTCATGTTATACATGTATTTTATAGATTTTCTATTTAACAGGGAGGTAGAAAGAAAGTGGGAATGTCCAGTTGGTTTTGACACACATATTACACATACATCTTTAAAATGCACAGATTCATGCATACATAATGGTTTTGCTGGTTATGTTTTGTCTCACAGTGAGGCAAAGGACAGGGGTCACACTGAAGAGAAACCCTTATCTAGACCTCTAAAAGATAATAAAATGCCTGCCAGAAAGTAATTACAAAAGATTAAATAATAATAAAGGAAATTTCAGCATTTTTGCAGTAATAGTTTCCTAGTCAAGTGCAAATTTTATTTTATAAAAATATGTAGCAGTAAAACTTAAACATTTTGGTGATTTTGTGCATATTGTGTGTCTTCAATTGTCTTTTTACAACTTACGTCAAGAAAACAGTAGCAAAATTATTTCATTTATGATTTGAATGCATGTTTGGTCATGGTGTTCATGCAGTTTTACAGCCTGTTTTACGGCTGCAGTAAAACAGAGATACTGCAGAACATGTACACAGAGATAGTGGCATACAGAAAATACAGTAATTACATAAAGTCCTATCTTTTTTAAAGAAAAGATACTGACTTTTAGATTGTACAGAAACATCAAATTGTGCTGAAGCAATCTACAAAAGTCTGATGCCAGTTAGCTTAACACACACACACACACACACACACAGTGTCTGCCATATCAAGACACTATAAATATGCTCTACAGTTTCTGTAGATCTACTCAAGAGCAACTTAACACCAGAATAATTTTAAATATAATATAATTACAAAAAAAAAAAATACAAATGTTGAATACATAGTCATAAACACCGATTTTGTGTAAATCTTCCATTCGCCATTGCTCATTTTCTGCTCCCTGCAGGGGAAACAGGAACTACATTTCTTACTTTTTGACTCTAGTCAGTCTTTTTTTGCCTTTCAACTCAAGAATGTTGTCATCTTTCCCTCTGTGTGAGGAGTGTAGCATGTGACTGGCAAGCAAAAACACACCTGGAAGGACATCTGGGTGGACTCCTTCTGCTATATCCTTATGATTGACAAGTTATCAGCTCATTCACTACAATGATCACACACAGTCCCGTGCTGAGGCATGTTCAGGGTGAGGAGGCAACAGAGGGAAAGATAAACAGAAATGTTCTGTAACTTTGTTCCTCTGTTTTGTGTGTTTTCTCTACAGAGAGTGTGTTTACTGTCTAAACACAGCTTTGTCTCTCAGTCTGTCACACAGTCAAGAATGAGATTCCCAACATCCACCAGCAAGAAGAGGGGTCAGTATTAGGTAATACCACCCTGAAATACTAAGGAGGAAATCCAGAGAAGCAGGCATCTGGATTAGAAATAAACATGGATTGAGTCTGAGGTCAAAATCTCCCCACAAACATCCCACCCTGCCCTTAATGAACTGAACACACAAAAAAATTGCATTGGCAAATTAACTGATCAGGCATAACATTATGACCAGCTGTACATCTGTATGCACTTCAGTGCAACACTTCTGCCTTAACATTTGTGTTTATGAAGCTCAAAATGTTTCAGTTTTTGGTGAGATTGTCATAAAAGTATACATTCAATTATACTTTATGTTCATTATTGAGGTCATAGTTGTACATGGTGTTGTACTGGACCACATTATATTCAGAGGTGTCTGTATATTTTTGTCCTGCCCATTGACATACATGAAAGGGTCAGAATATTAGGAACACCATGTCATAATTACTCTACAGATGTTAGAGGACACCAAACCATAATATGTAACTGTTGGCTGTACAGTAATAACCTGCTGTCAGGTTTGCTCGGCCGCTCTGGCCTCCCTCACCTTTCCTACTGTCTCTTGCCCATTAACACTAATCACATTCACCTGTTCCTCACTCCCTTATCACCAGCTGCACTTGATTAGGTTGCTCACTATATTACCCGGTTTCACTCCTCAGTCACTTGCCAGTTCATTCTTGTCTCTAGGCCATTTTTTCTCCGTGCTCTTTCGTTGTTTTGTATGTATTTATCCCCTAGCCAGCTACTGTTTTGTGTTCCCCCCATGGACTGTTCCTCCGGATCGTGGCTCCACTCTCTCCTCCCAGGCAGGTCAATGCTCAGTCGCCTATCTGTTCCACTATTGCCTTCATCTCTCTGTCTCTACCTTCAGTAGCCACCATCACCACCGACCAGCCCAGGAGTGACCCAGCCTACGCAGCTCGGCCCAGCTCTCCATCTCTTCACCTCCTGCTGTTGGTCAAACACCTGACTACTACTCATCGACAGGACTACGCACTATTTCCCTCTGTGTATTTTTACTCTCATCATCACTGTACATAATAAATCACTGCTTGCACTGAAGTCGGCTACCTGGGTCCGCCTCTTTCTTGTTCGCTCACTGACTGGTGCGAACGGCACATAACACCTGCTTGCACAAACAACATATAGACTCACTTTCTACAGAATGCCAGTCACCTTTAAGGTGTGCAGATTGTCAAAAATTGGTCTGTAGTTACTGAGCTATTTGAGTTGGCTTGGAGCAGTGATTTAGATTGTGCAGTCTCATGGCAGTTAAGACAAATCACTCGTGGCAGAGTTCTTTCACATGCTGCAGGTGGAGCAGCCTGTCGCCTAAGGGCAGAGACACACCAAACTGACATGAAAGAACTAGCAGCGACGAAGGCTGACTGTTGCGTCACCTCACATCGCCTTTGTCTGGGCCATTAGGTCAAAAGAGTGGCACTTGCATGCCCTGCACAGACTACAGCCAACTATTAGAATTTCATAAACTCAAGACATTTCAGTGGAAATATAACTGAATTTCTAAGAAGCAGCTCTCTGAAAAAAAGTGAATTAAAAACAGCTCAGTACAGTTCATGGATTCATCTGGCATCACCATGCTGCCACATTTGTAGATATCTGTCACTTAGCTTGATCTATGGCTGAATTCCAGTTTGACAAATAGAAACAGTAGACACAAATATCAAACAGTCACATGCTCAGAAAAAAAACAACCTGTGAAGATTGAGAGAACTTGGCCTTGATTTTAATTCTTTGGTGGAAAGAATCTTTTTTCGTCAAAGACATATAAAACCTATGTCTAATGTACTTATTGTAAAAGCATCAGTGTTTGCCTTGTGCTGTGCTTGCATGGCCTTTATCAGAGTAAAGATCTACACCACATGTATTTCCATTTGGTTCATCAGTTCAACATCATCTGATCCGTGACCTTAAGAAAGATCGCCACAAGATAGATGAGGGGTTTGCGTTCCTTTAATATCTTTCGGAGACATTAAATAATCATTTTTCACTCTTATCTACTTGTTTTTGAAAAGAAAGACGTGAGCAGGGAGCACTGATGGGAAAAGAAGATAAGGCAGATTTTCTCACAGGAACACAGAGGAGCAGGGCAGTGGGATGTGGTGGTGGCAGTAGCCTGAATGCAATGAGTGAGTCACGGTATTAAATCCCTCAGCCAGCTGGGGAGCTATTATTGGCAAAGTTAATTAGCTTTTTCTAAGCAAATTTCTCTTGGACAGCTATACTGATATTTTAGCATGTTTCAGCCCAATAATTACAAAAGTGTGTCCAGCATATTTTGCATTAACTTGACTATTTAACAAAACCGAAAATAACTACTGAATTTTTGGAATTTCAGCCAGAACACATAGGGTCACACACAAGCTGAAAAATGCCAAAGTAGTGGTTCAGTTAAACAAACAATAAAGGCTTGATTGTTGTCTGTGATCTGTCCTGACTTACACAGAAATAGAACAACATGTACAGACTGGGACGTTGCTTGGATAACTCCAGTACTCAAAGGAAATGTACTGGTTAATTGGCAATATGAGTTCATTCTGATACTGTAGAATCTGGGCCAATGTTGCCAGTACAACAAATATGGGGGGGAGGGAGTTGAAAGATGCAGCTTACTGGCAGACCTTAAATTAAATCAGGACTTTGTGAATGATGAATGTCTGCCAATGGATTCCTCAATCAGTCAGTTTTTTTGTTTGGGTGGATTTTCTCCCTCCTCCCTGAAATTAGTTTTGCCCCTGGTAGCAAATGCATAACATTTCTGCTGCTCCCATATCGGCTCATCTAACCTCAGAGGCAGACAGGTCATTCAAAACCTCATTCAAAGTTGAAGAGTCTCATCTCTTTTCCAGACCAAACAGAAATAAACACCACATAGTGAAACACTAGGGGGCACAACAAGACATCAGCATTAAATAGACGGTGCACAAACATACAACAAAATCCAAAAATAAATAAATATTTTAAAAAGGATCATATTTATGTGAGAGTTTATATTTCTAATGAATTTGCAATTTGAAGATACAGTGATAGAAGAGGATAAGGGTTCTGAGCCAGATTCATTCTTCCTCTAAAAGCAGAAATTCTTATGATCAACAGAAAGCACTCAATTGTCGGGTCGTTTCCTCTCTGAAAACAAAAATTACTGATCACACAGTGACAAATGTACATGCAGGTGTTTGAAACTTTGCTAAGATTTAATTTAGATGGCAAAAGGCTTAAAGATAAAATAGTGCCACAAACAATCCTCTGAAATCAACTTTGACATGAACTGACTGAAGTGTGAACAGAGAACTTTACTTTAACATGAGCGCACACTGGCGTTCTGCTGCCCCTTTATGAGGACAATAACATTGTAGTACTTGGGACTGTTGACCTACCTTGGACTTGAGCATTGATGACTTGGACTTGGACCTGAGCATTGACTGCATTTGGGCTTGGAAGTTTGAGACAAGGGCTCTGACTTTTGTTTGATTAGTTTTTGTTTTTGTAATAGGCCATAATAATATGATATTGATCTTAAAACCTGTTCCACCACACCATGCTGTATCCAGCACACTTCTACTGAAGCATACAATCCACCTATCAAAA